TAGGTGACATCCCAAGGACAGACCTGCCACAGCTGTGTTAAACTGTGTCTCCCCCCCCGCCCCAGCGTCATGATGCTGTGTTTCTCAGAGTGGGCAGGTCACTTTCCAAGCATCAATAGCGTGGCTTCCAGGTCCCCAAAAGAACAGCGGCCAGTCACTGTATAAGTGCAGGGGACCCTGTGACTTTGCCGCCACCTGGGACTCTCGTCATGCACTCTGGGAAGATGCGTGTGGCACAAGGGCTCGCTGACACGCTCTCGGCTGTGGCTGTCATAGCCACGCTGGCTTCCTCTCTCCCACCAAATCTTAGAGCCAAAAAATGACGATGTAAAAGTTAGCGTCTTTAGGGAATTTAAAGAGCCCTGTTCCAACATCATTCTACAGACAAGGCCACCAAGGCTTACGTGAGTTGTCCGGGTCACCTGGGTGGTAGCCACGCCAGACGTCCCACTCAGTGTCCAGTTTCTGAACCAGGACTCCTGGCATTTGACCATGGCATTTGATTCTGCCTTCTCATTTAATTAAATTACTAACGTATGAAAAGCTCCATGGTATTCTGGAAAAAAAAAAAAACTGACGGGAAAGCGTGGTCACAATTCACTCTGGTTTTAAAGAGGGTCCGCAGAGTCCAGTGGAAGCTGACCACAGTTGATGCTAAGTGAATGCTATGGACGGTAGAAGAAAACCTAATATTCTGGAACAACGCTGCCTCTGAAGCTTTCTGGGTGTAAAATCATGTTTTGAGCCTTCTGCCTCCAGCGTGCTTCTCTGCTCAGTACACACAGAGGCAGCGATAGACAGACAGGTTTAGCATTTCTAACACAGTTCTTTCCAACTTACTGCACAAAGAGTTTTCCTTGGGGCACGGAGGAGAAAAATTTCTTCCAGAGCCTCTTTCTTATAAGTGGAATCACAGCTTTTCGGATTCATGAAAGTGAACTTAAAGTACCACAACCAAATTGTCATGGAACAGTTTTCTGAGGTCTCTCATTAACGAAAAAGAGAAAAGATCATGTAAGATCGTATTGATTCATAGTCTAAACTGATGTGCATCTAAATGCAAAAGAAACTTGGAAATGAACACGTCATCTTTAAATTTTAAAAATAAAATCTCTTCCATGGTATTCCAAAGTAAGTTCTACGGCTTTCTGAGCAATAGTAGGTAGGACTCAGCGTAGGCCCTAGAACCGGATTATTCCCCAAAGTAAGCTTTTTTACATGTCAGAGTCACTTGCTTTGGGGACAATTAAGACTGCAAAAAAAAAAAAAAAAAATAGAACACACACATTATTTTTCCCAACTGTTGTTTAGCAGGAACTGTTACACTGCAGTTATCTGATTCCTATTATAAATAGGATAATAAGCACTAATATTTATTGAATGTGCACTACAATTTCTAGCAAATATTAACCATGCAATCCTGACCCACAGGTAGTATCATCACCCCCGCTTCACAGATGAGAAGTCTTAGACACAGAGAAGTCAAGGAACTCGTCTAAATGGTAGAGCTGGGATTCAAATCCTGCCCAAGCCCTATCTGCGTGGACCATATCTTAAATAAATTTCCCCCACATTGCTACTTTCTAGGCTATCCTCCCATATAATCTGAAAATTCAACAATGACAACGGAGTAATAGCATGTGATGGGCACTTCAGATACTTTGTTTCTGTTTAAAAAGGGCAGCTGTGGAGTGCGGGGCTGTGGTCTCCATGTTCCCAGGGCCGAGGGCTCCGGAGTCCAGTCCGTCCTCCCGGATGCACGGGACCGTGGTCCTTAAGGAGAGATGACCACTTATACTCCTATTGGACATATGTGGTGGCCCTTCCCCTCAACCCAGTAATAATTTCTCAACTCCAATCTGGGCGTCACTAATAATTTCTCAACTCCAATCTGGCCGTCACTCTGACAGTCAGGAGGTCCGAAGTCAAGACACGCAAGAATAAGTTTTTCCTCTACGCAAGGAAGAGCTCTAAGTCCCCTTGATTCTGCAGGGAGCATGTGCCTCATCCCGACGGCCTTCGCTCTCCCACGCCCTGGACCCTGGCCGTGGGAGAGCAGCTGGAGAGAAGGAGCTTAACAGCTGAGAGGAACCTTAGAGACCTGTTAGTCCAGCACCGAAGTCTTACAGATATGGAACTGGGGTCCAGAGAAATTGTAGCCAGACCGCCTCTCGGAGCAGAACTGAACCAGACCCCTCGCCTTCCGACTCCCCAGGCTCTTGGCCTTGCGGGAGACCACCATGCTGAGACCTTCATATGGGCCCAAAGCTATCCCCTAGTTAACCCATGAAAGAAAGAAGCTAATAAACCTGCAACAGCCCACCTGAAGAGGCAACACAAATATTTTTGATGTGTTATAATTTGTTTCTATTTTCAGTTTCTAACTACTCAATACAAGTGACCCATGGGTAAAAATTCTCAGAAGCTTCATGTGATGCAAATAACTTTTATTGGAATTATATATGATAATGTAGAGTTTGTCTCAATTATACTACTAATACAGCACCTGATGTGCCTAACTTACTTCTGGGAATTAAACATTTGTTAGTAATATATTGTGCCCGGACCTGAGACTAATGATTGTAACAGGACATCTGGCTAGTATTAAGCTTCTTTCATTGCAATTATAAAACAAAATAAATTTTTAAAGATTAAGATGAGGTATTAAATGAAAAATCCCATGATAGCTAAATAGTAAAACACATATGCACAGATAGTAACGTGCTCTCGGAATTGGGGCCCCGCAGAGTTCCATATTTTTTAAGGAAATTTTTCTTCCCAAGGTAAAACCATAGCACCTAAGTTTGCAGACAGGTATAGATAAGATTAGGGTTTTTACATGATGACTTTTAATTGTTCGGGGAGTTGAGGTATCCCACATGATAAAAGTTATTTGGAAAAAAAAATGTCTCATTATGTTCCCAGGAATTACAAGGGCTTTCCTCTCCCCACCCCCAAGAAACTCTCTTAAGAACTCAGCACAGAGAAAAATTATGTTCTAGGCAGGGACCAGATTGTAACTGGGCTGTCTATGCATCTTGATAGTTCCATACGGGTCAGGAAGGTGACTACGCTAAAGCAGAATGACCTACGTTAATTTTTATACATATAGGTGGACCCTTAAAATGGAACCCCAACATTCTAGGGAAAACTCGTAAAACATATTGAAATATGGAAGAAAGTTTAACTTATGAAGTTAATTTCTAAAACTCACTTCTAAATTAATTTAGTGTAAAATTCTTGCCTTCACTTAACTGTTTCAGCAAAGCTTACTAACAAATGAATCAATCATATTATTAGGTTTATTTCATCAAGACAAACCCATCACTGAAACTTATCACCTGTATTCGCCTCTCCTATAGGAAAAAGAGAACCATTTCAACAAACTAAAATTTTCTTAATTTCACACTAATCATATAAATAATTATATAAAACTATAGCAATGGTTTGAAATTTTTTCTACTACATTTCTAGAAATCACCTTAATCCTCTGAAAGTGTCAATTTTTGATTTTTCAAATGTGACCACCACAGTTCAAGCCGGCTTGTTCTTTTCATTCCTGAAAATGCTCAAGTGAAAAACAACGTTCAGCCAACAAGTTGCATATTTTGCCTCCACATTAGCAAATATCTGTTGAGTAACACCTGAATACAGATGAGGCAGATTCTTGCGTGCTTCCTCCCGTCATAAATATCGACAGATACAGCAACATCAACAGGCTTCCTTAGCTGGTACAGCAACAGGGTATCAGCTTTCTAACAAATATTAAAAAACCGAAGTTACCGTGCAAGTTCCATGTCTTACAAGAATGTTATTTGCTGCCATCTAATTATGGAGGAAACAATCTGATAATACCCCCTGACCGTCGCCCAGCCGCTGGATATCAATTACTCGATTATTAGATATTTACCGAGGCCCTGCTGCAAGGCTTGGCCCTTTCTCAAAGAGACCGAATCTGATTACGGAGATGAGAGATAGACCTGTGCAATGTAAACCAGCAATATTAGAACTCCTGTTCCTCCGCAGGGCAGGGAGAGGTCAGGAGCCCAGACAGTAGCTGTCCCCAGAGTTGAGAGGTGGGAGGCCTCCTCTGGGCCTGGGTGGTCCCTCAGGGCCACCGGGGAGGCGGTTTCAAGCTGCCCTCAGTGGATCGTAGTTTTGAGACAGGAAATGAGTGCTTTAAGAGAAACGGTCCGTGCACCTGGGCCAAAATCGCTCTCAAAAGCATCCAGTCCTAATGCCGGCTGTTCTGCTTTTCCAGAGTTACTCTTTCCTATGCGGGTGACTCTAAGAAAGAAAGACCATCAGTTCTCAAATTACCAATGCTCATAATTATTTCTGGGTTGGAACCAATAACTCTGAAACGTATTTCGAGTTTAAAAAAACATCGTGAAAACATGCACGCGCCCGCGTAGGCAAACTTTCGATACGATCAGAAGCTCCTTGGACTCTTCTACTTCAACCACAGCCGCCAGTCACTCCTCTCTTCCTTTCTCTGAGAAATTGCGTAAATAAAAATAGGAAATCAATCCACTTCTTTGCAGAGATAATGGCTCACACTTAAAACATACTCCAAAGAATCTCTCAGGAAAGACTAATGCAGCCAGTTCATATCGGTAAATATAAATTGCAGAGACTGGAATCCTCAAGTGAGAAATTATTTCTTCTGCGTTATCTTCTGGTTTCAGGCACCAGCTTTGTATGAGGCTTGAATTGCTGCAGCCCCTATTTGGTTAGGTGTATGAAGAGTCTACTTACGGCTGCAGAAGTAAATATAGCTTGGTCAGGGAAGGGGCTGTGTATTTAATGTCCATTCAATGTTTTGGGAGTCATCGACCGCTTGCTCTTGTTTGGTGCCGGGGCTGTGTTTTGTTACGTGCGTCACAGCCGAGTTGGAGAGCAGATGTATGGTTTGTGTCTTTGTCCATATAACTTTCTGTTTCGACCAAATGACATGGTAGCTGAAAATAACATACCCTGATTTTTCCTGATGCATGCAGATCCTTCAAAGTTTAATAGGATATGGCCGAATATTTCTTCCCTTGAGGTTTCTAACCCAAAACAAGGTAGGAGCATGTAAAATTCCTAGTGATGTAAAAAATCCCACCTATGGAGGGGAAAAAATCCCATATACTATTTTTTTTTTAGCACTAAATAAGAGCATTGTCATAAATGTCATGTCTTTGAAAGAGTCATACTTCGAATAATTCTTTTCTAATATGGAGAGTGCCCCCGAAATACTCCCATGAAAGATGTAGGAGAAAAACAAGATGGCGTAGGGTTATAAGCACTTGATTAAATTTACATGGAGGGTCAGGCCGCCCCAAGAAGAGCCCAGAGTTCTGTTCGTCACAGCCGAGGGCACCAATGACAAGTCCTAAAGACCGTGAGCGCCACAGGTGTCCCTCCACTGTCTCCCTTTTATTTTTGTTAAGTAAACTGCTACATCAGTTGTATTGAGGGGTGGGGAAAACAAATGTAAAAGCCGTATTGCAACCCCTGAGGAGACCCGTTTTCTTGTACTGTTGTTCTCCATTGACTTCCGAGAGAAATTTGTCTCCCCTCCCCACACCGGCAACATCCATCGCAGTTTATTTTCTCTGTTGGGCTTTCCTTCTTGTTGCCTTTTAGGAATTCACAGCCACTTCTAGTAGCACGAAGAGAAGCCTGTGGTCTGGCCGTCCTTAGGGCCGTCCTTAGTTTCTGAATTTTAACATCAAAACTGAACAAATGCCTACGAAAAAGAGACTGGCAGACAGCAGTGCGGTGACACAGGAAGAAATAGAACTTTTTAAAACTGGGCAATAAAATTCATAAGATGCAGCGTAATGTTCAATTCACACCAACATCTAGCCCACAGCTATACATAGACCTGTATAAATAGGAGTTTATGTTGATAGAAAATTGTATTCTTTTACCTTCTTCCTTCTCGAAAAAGGCACATCTCTGGCTTTACCTGCCTTCATTACATACCGAATGTTCCTTTTAAACTCTAATGAATACAGATGAAGGAGGAGATGGGCAAAGGGAGGAACCCGAATGCAGCTGCTAAGCAAAACAAACTATATTAGCGATTTGTTGAGGAGTCAATCTGGAAGGGCTGCATTTTCAGTCCTTGATCAGTGATGAAATCGAGACTGTCCTAGATACATATATTACTAGTAAATAGAATTATCTTAATCATCTGCTTCAAATGAATTTTTCAAGTTTCTGCGTACATATGTGGAAGAAAAACAGATCAAGCCTGCCCATATTAGTGGAATTCTGGGAGGATTCAGGCGAGGTTTAGCAGCTTTATTCCTCGGCACATTCAGTGAGACCATTGTCAAATGTCACTGAGTAGTTCCTGCTGAATTTCAGAGCTCAGCAAATCACACAAGACAGGATCTAACACTTAACACTTCTTCCCCTTGAATTTTGAGAGGAACAAAACTCATGCGCTGTTCAAAACCCGAAACAGGCCCATTTAATTATTTTGCTGCGTTTTCAGTGAGTGTCACAGGAATAAAAGCATTCAGAAAAGTCTTTAGTTCACGCCAGCCACACTGTTTCAGAATGTGGATAATGACTCCTGATGAATTTATTTGGGAAGCAGCACAGTCGAATACACTACTTGGACTTGAAATTGTAGCTTAAGCGCACTGTCCAGGGGAGGCCAGTTCTGTGCACTTGTAATTTATCTTGTCAACATCTGCAAAGAACATCAGGCCGTGTTTTCTTTGGGTATTTTCACAAGCAACTCCTCATGAGTAATTGGAAAAGAAACGGCAGGCCAACTTAAAGAAACATCCCTGCCAATAACAGACTGATATGGTCACTCAGGTAATAAATTTTAAAAAAAGAAGAAGAAGAAGGCGGCTACATTTTTGAAAGGTAGACAGATGCAAGGTCACTCTGAGACCGAGGTCCAGAGGCTGCTGAATGGCTGACGGTGGTGACCATATTCTGAAATGTCTAGTCCGTTCTACCAGAATAGCCTAACCAGTTTATACGTAGATGAGCTTATGGTCACACAGAGAGGATGACCTGGTGACCCGAGGCAATAATAAAGTTAATGAACTCAACACCACTCACTGCTGTTTTAACAAAGAGACGGTGGGGAATCCCAGTATCCATGTTGTTACTAGAGCAATCTTTTCCCACCTGGATTCTTGATTTAGGAGGTAATTATTTTTGCCCCTGAAAATAAAGCATCCAAACTTCATTTCTGACAATGTTAAACCATTTCCAGCCAAATGTAAGACTTCTTTGGTGACTGAAAACAAACCCTCTGAAAGAATAGATACAAATACTCTCGTGATTTAGGGCTGCTTTTCAAGTGGGTTGAGGATAAGTTATTGCAGTTTGAACATTTCACGATTGTTTCTAATGTGCTCTTCATTCTTTTAAACCTATCCAGTTGCTCCCAAAGTAGCTTTGTCAACAGTTTCTTCTGTTCAAGTTGCAAACCACAAGAGAGGTAGGAATTCTTGGATTCATACAGTGATTTCATGGTGTTATGTGTTGTGAAATATTGCACTGTATGAATCTGGAATATCTGTGAAGTGTACCCATCAGCTTATTGGTGAGGCATGTTGACTGATATTGATCAATGCATCCAATAATACTGACAATGTCATCTGTAAGAGAAAAACAAAAAAAACTTCAGTCAGAAATTTGCTGCAAATTAACAATGCTGCAACATTTGTTTTCTGAAAGATTAATGTGTGAATAAGAATTATAACAGTTCAGCTTCCTGTTTAACATGAATGTTAAGAATATTAATGTCGTGATTCATTTACACTGAAAATATGGAAACCCACTTAGAGTGAGTTTCAGAAACGCTTGTCATGAGACCAGAATGGCAGGTTCTGCATATGGTGCCAATTTGACATTGTAACAAATGAAATCCCTGGGAATTTCTACTTCCAAACATTATTTGAAATGAACTGGAGCAAATACCAGTGGAGATCGGTACTGGGTTAAGCATTGATCATGACCCCAAAATAATAATTACGTTACATTCTTTAAATGAAAGCCAGCGTATCTCATCTGTGATCCATGAACGGCCCATTCCAGCTAGCATCTGTCATTCACAGAATGAAGACTTTTCAGGAACCTTAATGACCTCTGTTTTTATTTCACCTGTTTCTTTTAAATGTCCTATGTGACAGGCGTGTCTTATCTTCCACCCTGGACTGTTGGGCTTGTGTTGTGTTTTTCTTTTTTTGAGGAAACATCTCTTACAAATAAACATATTTATTAACAAAAATCCATATTTAGTTTGACCCACTTGGTGAAAGTGACCCTAAGGGCTTCCCTGTTCCTCATCGAATGTGGTCAAACCATTTTCTGGATTTTATTTAACGTTAAATCGGTCCTCCTGTGGCGTATAGAGAAAAGGAGGAAATGGGTCAGAATGCGGGAAAGGGAAAAATGATAGTATTGAAACCACGTCTTCCGCTTGCCTCGCAACGTGCGCTTACGTAGGCAGCCGACCCTGACAGCGCCATTTGGAGGGGTTTCCGTGGGTTTAAACTGTAGGGAATCTAAGTTCTTTCGGAGCAGAGCAGCCCCAGGCAGGGTTATCAAGCCTCTCTGGCCACGGGCACATCTCAGAAGGCAGTCAGGGTGCCGGGGAGGGGGGTACCCCTCCTCATCCCTCGTACGCAGATCTACGCAAGCCAGGGAGGTGATGGAAAAAGGAAGCAATGGGGACTGTCACAAAGCCCCTTCCTTTGATGTCATGCCAAGCACTCTGGGTAAACCAGAGGCCTCTTGACCTGAACTCGGACCCTCCCTCATTGAGCCTCTGGTGTCACAGCACCGATAAGGTCCAGACACATCTCTGGAGGCAGGAGGAAGCCACCTAATGAAGTAGAATTTCACAGAAAGCTCCACCTGGTCGTCCAGCGCTGAGTTTGGAAGAGCTCCCAGCCCACGTCAGGTTGGGAGACGGGGCCGGGGCTGAGCAAGGACCAGGGGACCGGGGAGGCCCCTGCGGAGGCGGGGCCACTCGGTCCATGCCGGGAGGGGACTCCACTTCCAGAGTTCTCGTTTATTCCTCCTCTGTCTACCTAAAGTCGCTTTCCTAAATCCTTTCTTTTTGAGTATCTACCATAAACTTCCTTCAGTGCTAACTTTGAATAAGCTTCCCTCATGAGGCCAAAAAAATCCGCAGGCCACATTGCGAGCACTTTATCTTGTGTCGACCTCGGTGATGGGACGGTGTCATTCAAGGCTGCGTGGGGATGAGCAAGAAAGAAGACACCAAGGGGACCTCTAACGGCCTCCTCTTCCTCGCACCCTCTTCCTTCCATAGGCTCTCTCCACTCTTTTGTTTCCCTGGGACTCCGACCTGCCGCGGTCTTCCCCCGCCGGTCTCAGAAAGAGCTTCTAAACCTTCAACAAGGTCCGGGTCTTTCCTGATCTAGAAAGCCAGCTTAGATCACGCCCGCTTCTGAAAGCTCCTAGGTTCCATCGTTCTTACCTAGCCGGTTGCTAGGTACTGTATCATCCCAACTGCCTTACACGATCCCACATCTGTCTTACGGAGGATTTTGTCCCTCAGGGGGATGTTGGTTGTCACAGCCTGGGGGTGGCGGCCAGAGATGCTTCTGAATATCCTGTAATATACAGGACAACAAAGAATTGTTTGGCCCCAAAGGTCAGTGGTGCCAAGGTGGGGGCCCCCTGCGTTGGACTCGGCAGGACTGGGCCTCCTTCACGTTGTCCCCTGGTGCAAGGTGGCCCTCGGTGAATAGGTGTGTATGGTGTCTTCTGTGCTATACCATGCCAGTGTGTTTGTGAGGTCGAAGTTAGGGTTGTATACACAATGGTAACGAAAATTTATCTGGAAAAAAATTGGTATTATCTACAATGCACTTTGAGATTGAAAAAATCTATTTTAAAAAACACAGCAATTTTCCGAAATTTGCTTTTTCCTGCCTAAATTGACCCGCATAGACATATAGTCAACTGTCTGCTAAAATAATCACAAACTCAGTTCTGTCTTGTTGTGTGGCTGTTGTTTTTCTAAACCCTGTAACACATAGGATGTAGCCAGACTCTTATGGAAGGAGAATGGTAGTGGAATGAATTCCAGAGTAATTTCCCTCTGTACCTCCCTGTGTCTCCCAAGGGAAGGTGCCTTGGGCCATCGTTGATTCATTGACTCACCCATTCGACAACACTTTTTGAGTGTTTAATAGGCACCAGGTGATGCTCTGAGCTTGTGGCTCCACACTTGCACAAAACAGACATGGTCTGCACGCACATACTTACAATCAGAGTATGGGGAAGATTTCTTTCTAAATGTACTTTTCAGGCACTATACATTCTGTGAAAAAAAAATAAACAGGCTTGGGAAATTCAGGGATTAGTGTGTTTGGGTCTAGGGTTGCTATTTCAGAGAGAGCAGTCACAGAGGTTTTTTTTGAGCTGAGAGCTAAAAACAAAGTGAGGAGGCAAGCGATAGGGATGTCACGGGGAAGAGTAATCCAGACAGAGGTGGCAGGAAGTGCAGGGGCACTGGGCAAGTGCTTGGCATGTTGGCAGAGCAGCGCGGAGGCTCTCTGTGCAGTGACTGACTCTCCAGTAAATGAATCCACCTCATCCTGATATGGATAATTAAAAAAAAAAAAAAGGAGGTGGAGGAGGCTAGTCTCTCTTCCTTATTCTTCCTTATTCATTTTTGATGATGCCTATTCATTTTTACTCTGGCCACTAAATGCAGCACTTCCACAATTTTATCGAGGCCAAAAGAGTAACTCAGCACCTCGCATGGAGCCTGGCACATGTGCATGGAATGAGTGAAGGCGTGCATGCATGAATGAATGACTGAATGAATGGGCTCAAATGGTGACTGTGTTTGGCTTCCTAGCGAGCTAAAGTAAAAGCTGCACATAGGAGGAGTATTTTTAGATAAACAAGGCTTACAGTATCATGGTTGACCTTCCCCTAGAACGTCCCACTATGTCTACCCCCGTATTTTGAGAAGACAAATTAGATTCCCCACCTAGTTATTCCTCGCCCTTTTGAGTTTTTTGTTTGCTTGGGGTGGTTTTTTTTGTATGATTTCACAGTTATTGCTACCAATAAAGGCTCTGTCTTTACCACTTCTCTGTAAAAGAGCGAACTAGATTAACAACTTCTTTCTTTGGTTGAGATGCAACAGAGAAAAAAGCTCCAGTCACACTGCACCTTCCCCACCTGCTGTCCCCCTCTCTTCTCCATCTCCTTGTCCCGTTCTCACCATTATCACCCCTGAGCTTCAGAGGCACCACCAACATTTTGAGGCAACAAAGGAAAAAAATCTGGGGATCCAGTGGCTGCCTGATCTTCCTTTTGTAGCACACTCAGCTTGAAACTTGGAAGAAAAAGAAACCCTAAGTACCCCCTTTCATACACAAAACCTCCCTGCCTTTTATATTTTCTCTCACACATAAACAAACATGCAGGTGTGGCCTGGCGAAGGGCTTTTGGAGGACATCTTTCCTCTTAGCATTTGGGGAAAAAAAAACCAACAAAAGAATGTGTAGTTGTCTAGATCCCTGTTAAATTGGCCATGATTTCTGTGGAACCCTGACCGGGTTACTCTCTTGGCATAATTGATAGCGAGACTAAACCAAAGAGCCATCGGCAGTGACAGCCTCCGGTCTCAGGCCCTCACACACCTCCCAGCTCTTTTTGTAAGATGCACACGTGAAAACGAGGGAGGTGATGCAGAGACGGCAAAGTTCTCAGTGTGCAAAAATTAGATTTTTGCATTCATGGAAACCAGCCCTTCCCAAATATTAAAAGGTGTGCACCTGCAAATGCTTCTGTTCATCTTGTCTGCCAAGAATTCACACTCCGCAATCCTGTTCTGAATGCCCAACCTTTCTATCCTGCCTGACACGGATGCTACCTCCATGCCAGTCACAGCCACGTGTGCTCGCCATGTGTCCTGTTGAATCGCGTGTATGTGATGCCGTTCCGCCATCTTTCTTCCGCTCCTCATGTGATCCGAGCATGTAGTGTGCTATTACTCTGCTACCGTATACACTCTGTATACATTTCTGTTCTTCCTTGCAAGATTGTGAATGCTTCGGCCACTCCAATCGATGCAGTTATATCGATCTGCTAAATACAGTCATTTGCGTGAGCTGTAAACACAACACTAGAGGGCAGCACTGTGAGTTATGCAGGCTGGGCTACTTCAGAAATGCTTCTGCACAGCTGGACGATGAGAATGTGTGCATAGGTCAGTCCCATTATAATTTCAGCTATTGTTCTGTGCCTTTCGCGCGATGGGGAGCTATTGAAAGTGGAGAGGCTGGTGATCTGCACCACGACTGAACCAGAATGAACTTTCTCAACGGAGAAAACGTACTTGTGGTAGAATTACAATTCGCTTGTGCTGGTTGAAATCGTAGCCGGGGATATATTTTGAATTGTTATGTTACTGGTGCTTTAAAGATAATGAACTGAAAAATGTTT